CTAATGCCATTATTGCGGCAACTCAATATCAGCATTTGAGTTCGGAGGAACACAAACATTCAGTCCATAACAGAAACCCTCACACAACACTGCAGTTTGCTTCTTTAAAGCCAGTAGAGTATCTCACGTCAGTCTGCTCTATATTCTATGACAAAGGTGTGGGGGTGATAGTCTTGTCACCATAATCATTTCTCTTGTCTGGAAGCAAGTTCTGCCTGCATCAGAGGGGCTTCGTACAAGGTCACAACTCACAGGGTCATGTTAGCTTTCTGCTTTCTCAAGGAGAATAAACTTAGTGAGGATGAACACAGTAGGTTATGTCAAACTGAAAGTGACAGCATGTTGACACAGGTGTGAACTTGGGAATGACCCCACATCGTGGGTCTCAGCCCTAGCTACACATTAGCATCACCTGAGAAACTTTAAGTAAATAGTTCTACCCATAGGGAGTCTGATTTAATTTGTTTAGGGTAAGGCCTGGGGTATCACATTTTTAAAAGGTCTTCTAAAGTGCTTCAAATATGAACAGTGTTTAAAAACACTGATACATTACAAATATCTATTTCAGGGATGAGGGACTTGAAGCCCAGGTTGGGTGGTCTTCTTGAAGTGCACTGTTCATCCAGCAGCAGGAGAAGGATGAGACCCTGGTCTCCTGGCTAAGGCCATACCCTCCGAATACTGGACAAATATATGTTGCCTTGTAGAGTCCTTCACATTTCCAATTTGGCATTTTTATCCTTCAAGGGCCTAAAATCCCTAATTGGTAGATAGATTTGCTGAAAGCCTGGTCAAATTCTCTCTGTTGCTGTATTGGCAATTTAGTACCAACATGGATCTCCCAGACGGAATTTGCTGTCTCCAGCTTGAAGAACAAATGCATAAATAAAACTCACTTATTTTTGGAAAGTTGGTATAAAAACAATCCCTGGTGTTTGGCGGAAATGTATTTTCTATTGTGTCTTTAACCAGACGTAATTTGATGCTTATGTAAGATGTTATTCATTTCTGACATAGATGAAATGGTGACGTGGGCTGTGTCGTTTAGAAAGATGGATGAGCTCTTTGGTAAGATACCATACATCTATCTGAAAGGGCAAACTCTCCCAACTCATGGGCTATATAGGGTCCTAATCTAGTTACAAAACGGACAAGGTCTTTTTCTGGATTTGATTAGGCCTTTTATTTCAATGAGTTCATTACTATCCCTGGCCATTCACTCAGTCTGTATTATCTTAGAATCTTGTCATTCAACCCTAATGTTCTCTGAGTTTTGTGTATAAAGTTTCAGTCAGGCCAGGTGCCGTGGTGGCACATGCCTGTAATCTCAGTGGCTCAGGAGGCTGAGGCAGGAGGATTGTAAGTTCAAAGCCAGCCTCAGCAAAAAAAACAAG